CCTTCAGCAACCAGGCCTGGCACAGAGATGCAACGTTGCTGAAGCAGTCAAGGGACTATTTCCTAATGGCATTACCTACAAACCATGCGACAGCCCTCACCTGGCTTGGGCTAGGTCAGGCACTAGCCAGCAGAGCTCCACCAGCTTCACCCTACACCACTACACTCAGATCACACCTATGAACCAAAGCGCTCCCCAAAGCAGCCCCATTACGTGATAGGTGTTTATGATCTTGGGATTTGGAAGAAAGCAACCCGGGTGGGGGGCCCCATTTTTTGTAATCCTTTCACAACGCCGGATTTTTTACGGAGGACGACTAAGCGCCAGCAAACACGAGCACCACATACACTGTTGCTATTTATTGGGTACATTCAAGATTCAGTACATACCGTTCCCACAGCAGAAGCAGAGGTTTAAGTCGATTCTCCCAGCTAACAAAGCTCTTTTAACAGCAGGTAGTTCTCAAGGTAGTTAAACAAAGCTAATTTCTAGGCAGCCGTTCATTTTCCAGGCCAGTTTTCCCACCTTTAAAGCAAGTTCTGACTTGTTCTACTTTGCTAGGTCGCCCCCACTCAACAGACCATTCCTACTTGGAATGTGCAGTGTTTGTGTTCCCTTGTGAGAAGCAAAACACAGCTGAGCTTCATGTGGACCCAGTCAAATAAGACCTCCAAAACAAACGCTTCACATGAGGCTCTAGGCAAGTTTCCCAGTATAAAGTCACTTTGATTCAGGAGCAGATGGACCACAGGAAAGCAGCAGCGCAGCTGTAGCACAGTGACAGCTCTGCTAAGACAGGCAGGGATTCTTAGACTTAAGGCAAGCTGACTTCCCCGTGTAGCAGTAAGATCCTCTGCACGGCCAAGGCAAAGTGCACGCAACATTCCCCACCAAGCAATCCCAAAGCAGTTCCCTTCTTAACATGCAGCAGACACAGCGGCAGCACTCAAGCACATGCTAGAGAGTGGACTGCTGCATTAACTACTTGCCCACCCTCCAGGAAAGCAAGTGCTCCCAGCACCTCTGGAGTTGTCCAGTCCATCTTATCTGCACAGAGCAAGCATCAGCCATCAGCTCCACAGCTTTCCTTTCGCTTTAGCCATGTCTTGCTTGAAAAGGAAAATCTAAACATTCGCCTACAAATAACTCCTCTTGCCCCAATCTAAACCAGTCTTCATTGTTTTTGCTTTGAACAGACATGCTGAACTGACCTCGGTTAGTTAATGCTGTTTCATTTCCTGCTGCTTGCTAGTACTGTATTTTCTATTTTAGGTTGTGTAGCAATTCAGTTCTGGTCTCATTTGACAAGGTAGCCACAAAACTGAGCTACTCCTCACTCCTAATCTACTGCTGTCGACACACACTCGCACTCTGGAAAGGAGTAGCCAGCTAAGCTTGGGGCTTTTCTCAAGTTCAGCAGGAAAAGCAGAACACAAGAGATTTCCAACCATGAACTCCAGACTCCCAAGTCACAACACCACATGCTACACCTACCTATTACACTCAGCTGAAGCTTTCCCAATGAAGCAGTAGGTGCCATTTACCCCAAAGGAGAGCTGTCTTTTAGGTTGCACTAAGACATGGAAGTCATTCAAATCACAAGGCATTGTACCATCTCTCACTGAGGGGGAGGACATGACATCCAATCACACATATCACATCTTCCAGGCATCTAGCTTGTACTGAAATCAAGGCGTGCATTACCAGGCGATCCTTTCTCTCTCTCATGCAGGCACTAAGCAGAAGCCTTCTGCATGTTGTGCTTAGCAAACCACTCATCGCTTTTGTCCGCTGCCATAGCCTGTATAAACAAAGAGCAGCTATTAGAAAAGCTGCCATTTAGAAGCCAGGGCATTCAAGACGCTTTTAGGTCAGTGCCAGACAAAGGGAGGGCTGGCTGACTTCCCAAGCAGAGCTGAGAGGCACCCCTCTGCACAAGCTGGACTCCACTGAGCTGAAGACCTGGCTGGTATGGAAGAATGGCTTACTTCAGCAGCAGGTAGAGGCAGGGAGCACCCACCACTCCCCTGCACCAGATAAATGCACTGGATGAGGAGTCCAATAAAACAGTCACGCCTCGGGGGTTTCTGAATGGATTTGAGAATCCCTCAATTTCCCCAAGCCTTGCCAGTTCTTCAGCATCTGAGCGGATGGGCAACAGCAGCTGCAGGAAGGACTCACTGAAGGATCCCACTTGGAATGCAATGCAGCTCCTTTAGAAGGCCAAGTGGGCTCCACTTTAACATGTCCAGGAGGCCTAGCCGCTCCTAACTAGAAGCACAGGCCTCCTCCTGTTGCCTTTCCCTTTCTCCAGTTACCCTACAGAGAATATAATACTTACGTCATCTAACAGCTTGTTGCCCTCTGGATCCACCTTGGAAAGCTCTCGAAATGCTTCATCTCCTACAAAGCAGATTTCGTGCCCATCCTGGAGCAGATGGAACGGAAGAGGGAGTGAGACACCCTTGGGAAGAGACAGCAGGACCCTGAATTCAATCACTATTTCCAGTGCTACTCACTGGATCAGCCAGGATAACCACTTGAACAGTTGCTTTTCCAGGGGTGTCCAAGCTAACCAGGGGTGTTAGAATCTTCTGCTCCTGCTTCTTCATCAGTGCTTCGATGTGCGGTAACTAAAGAACAAAATACAATGACAAAAGTCAACCGTGTCCTGCCAGGCCAGTGACCACTTGCTTTTCCCACCGCCCACATCTCCATCAAGAACCAGGGAGACTATTAAGCAGAACATATTTGATGAATGGTTTTGGTTACATACAGACTGGGAGAGAACTTGTAGAGACTACTGATAAGATCATCCCTGGGCCTTCCCCATGCCAGCTGTGGCAACTAAAGAAATGGCCAGAGGTTGCAGGGAAACAGATAGGTACCTCATCCTTTGGACAGGAGAAGGCGATCCGCCCGAAAGCTGTGCCATGATCCACTGCACCTCCGATGCCTTGCAGCTCCAACTTGCACTGAAACAGATTGAAGCAACCAAGTCAGCTCACAGACAACCCACCTTCATTTTTTCCACACGCCCTAATCATTGCTCCCTGGCAAAGTAAATCACCTCAAAGCTATGCGTTTCCTAGTGCAGTAGGGCATCGGTGCAACTTTTTACTTGTTAGAAAACAAACCTGTAAGCACAGACACAGCACTAAAAGCAGAGGGAATGCTTTCCCAGGAATCTCTGTCAATCATAATTTTTGACTACAACATATCAAGACAAGCAGCTTGTGCTAATGTCAGCACCTTGGAGAAAGTCACCGAATGCTGTTTGTACCTAGTTACTCTCTCTGCATTTCAACTGTTATGCTCCTTCCTTGCACTTTTATTTTTGTAGTTATTAAGCTGCTTTAGAAAATGACCCTTTTGTGACATGAGGCCTGGGTATTATTTATCCAACCTTCAATGTCCAAGACTTAAAATGTAAACTGTGATGCTACAAAGAAAAGCAGGTTCCCCAAGTGTGTGTCAGTGGCCAGCAGGGAGGCAGGCAGACCAATAAAACAAATCTTTAAAGATGCAGATTCTGCTTCTCATCAGAAGGGTTCATTTCCAGATTGGCCATACTCAGAAAGCAGGATGCATGTGGCTAACAAAATGCTATTTTGTCAGTCTGCCAAAAGGACTAACCTGGTTATCTCCATAGCCCAGTAAAGCCCTTTGATTTTCCTCGTCCTTCTCATATATCTTCATTCCCAGCAGATTCGACCAATAGTTAACAGATTTCTGCAGATCAGAGACAGCCAAAGCTACTTTCAGCACAGGATCTGCAAGACCATAAGAGTTTTCTGTTAGCGGCAGGCAGGGAGGAGTTTTAACCCCTGGCTCTTTAGGGTTACAACAGCGAGAAACAAACACCAGCAACGTAACACAGGTACAGGCTCCTGCAGAGCTCAGTCGAGCCAGATCTGTAATCTATGCTGCTGTCCCAGTTACAGGCACCTCCAGAGCAGCACTACAGTCACACGTAGCCATTACCTTGCTTTGGTTGCTCTTTGTCTTCTAGGTAGAACTTGTATCCTCCCGGGGCTTCAGTTTCAAACATGCCCTTTGCAACTTCCTTGATCGGCCACCCCATGTTCCTGGCATTGCTCACAGCCTGGCTGGACACAAGTGTGATGCCCTGGCAAGGACAAGGCACAAACGTACACACTGAGGCACTAAGATGAGGTTGTATCATGTCAGCTGATGGATCCAAAAGTCAGTGGGGAAAACCAACCTATATCCAGTGGCAGGAAGAGAGCAACCACTATCCCCAGACTCTGCTATACACCTCTGACTGGGGTCTATGGGATTCAAGCAGTCCAGTTACTGCTCAGAGCATCTGGACCCCACTTTCTCAATAACCTTATTTCAAAAGAGGAAGCCTAGAGAGATGCTATTTGTTAGACGAGTCATCTGCATTCACAGACAACTTATTCACAGACCAAACTGCCTTCCCATCAGCCCCCCCCACCAAATATCACTCCTTAATTAGGACTCCTCCCTACCACTGAAGTCAGTGAACATTCATATCCTCTTCTACAAAGGGAAAGGTCCAAGCAGGAGGGTCCCAAGGGCTGAACTCTGGTCTTGCCTCTTTAGAGCACCCAGAGCCGGTACTGACTGGCTGGCGCCTGCATTTGGGGAAGTGGTGCTGGAAGGGTGGTGGGACAGGACAACAGGACATAAGTGGCTTCCATGGGACTAATGAGGCAACAGGGGAGAGGTGACCTGAGGGAGTCAAGGAGCAAACACAGTACATCTCCTCAGCTGGAAGTCAGGGAAATAAGAGGGGCTGCACAGCTCAAGGAAACGGGGCACCAGCCTGGACCTGTCAGCACAGTGTGAAATGAAGGGCTCTCAGGAGTCACCAGAGACACTTGCCCCCACAAGGCGCCCAGAGTCAAGTGCAAACACCCAGTGTTCAAATACACAGCGAGCACAAAGCACCTCTCGCTCCCTCCTCTTCCAGCCCAAGGTAGCTCCCCCAGCACTTCCCCAGCCTGGGAAATGGAAGAGCACCAGGCAAAAGCACTGAAAATCTCCCCTGCGGCGGCTCCTTGTCACACAGGCTCACAACGGGAACGGAGCCGCGATGGGAGGAGACGCTTACCAGAAAGTCGTTGCCAAGGCGATACTCCCCGACTCCGTAGTTGTAGGTCAGCTCTATGACAAAGTGATCGTCTTCGGGTCCGTAGCCCACCATCGTTTTACTCCACTTCCCATCGTACGGGCTGCAACAACCACATTTCTTACAGTCAGTGTTGGAAACACACCGGTATTACGCACACATCTGAGGAAAGGACTTGCCAGAGCAGGCAAACGGTGCGGCTAACTCAGGATCCCTGCCCGGAAAGTAACGTGTGCCAGGCAAAAGCTTACAGCAAAGCTGCAAGAAGGCACGCTACACCTACGAGCGCGGCCCAATACCTTACAGCTGGACGCGCATCCTCGCTATCCCCAGCGGGCGCCAGCTTTATGCTCACAAGTGTCCCATTGTTTCCTCCTCAGCCTCCTACCTCGTGTCTCACCCAGCTGCAGGCAGCTCTTGCAGAGAGCCCGACTTCCTGTGGAGCTTGTGGGCACACGCACGCACACACACACCACGTGCACACGCGCGCGCGCCGCCCCCCCGAGCGCAGGCCCCGGCGGCCCCACGCACCCGTTGCAGGCCGCCTTGCAGCCCTGGGCGAACTCCTCGTGGCGCAGCGCGCTCATGCCGAGCAGCTCCCGGTAGAACCGCGCCGCCG